CTAGCAGTTTGCTAACATTAGCTCTACATGTGTCACTTTTATCTTTTTAACATCTTCAAATGTGGTTGTCTTTTCAACATAGACGAGCTTAGCGCATAGCATATCTAAGTACAGGACAGGAGGAAGTTGACCGAGGCTTGCTCAACTGTCATTGGAACACAGAGTGAAAAGGGGCGGGACTTAAGAAGGGTCAATTAAGCATCAGTTTATTTTGTGGAAGACCAGACCCCAGTAAAGTTAAGGAACTTGCAAGTACCCTATCTTCAACTCAGAATCCCATAATGCATCTCACTCACTTCCAATCACCATTGCCCCCTTTAAATTGGGCTGCAATTCCTACACTGTTCAGTCAATAAGAATGTGAGCCTGACACACCAAGACAACAGCCTTTCTTTGGGATGTTGCCGAGTGTCCATGCTGGCTATTGGCACCTGCAATTCAGAAATATTGATAGTGATCTTAAAACTCACATCAGTCTAACCCAAACACACTAACACTCACGTTCACACACACAACACAGAACACACACACAGAGGAGACGCAGCGAGGGTCTCCCTCTGTGTTTTAACTAGACTCTTCTCTTGCCCCAGCTTGCTAAGTTCTCTGAGGACACTCTAAGCAGCTACACCGAAGTGGTTTCCTCCCAGGTATAACCTCTCGCTGTCTCGCTCCCCTCTCCCCTCTTCCACTCGCTTGGCTCCCAACTCCACCTGAACCCGCCTGTCTTCACTCGCTCGCTGTCCTCGCCCTTTGCAACTCCCTCTCTGGAACCTCCCCCCCGTACACAGCTCTCATGACCCTCCCACTCCCACCCCCCTCACCTTCAATCTCCATTACATCTTTGATTTTTATACCATGGAAATCTTTATGGACATCTTATGATTCAGACCACCTCTCTGATTCTCCATGTGTTCACTACATTTTCTTTCTTTATTTTTGTTGCTTTAATACGAGCGCTTTGCTTTCTGTTTTTTAATTCATCTTGCACGACGTGTTATTTTCTCTCTTTTGACTCTTTGGTTTTTGGTCACTCTTCATCTGTGGATTATCAGTCAACACGTCTTGACCGAGCACCTCTGGATGTAAGTTACGCTCAGATGCCTCCAGTCATCTTTGACATGTTATTAATCAATGTCTCTTTAAGATCGTTTTCTCACCTCATGGATACAGCTTTTTTGTTCCCACAACCTCTCACAGACCCTAACCAAACTCAATCATTGTGCCCCATTGTTGCTGGGATGAAATGCTCAAAGGAAAACTAAGCAAATCGGTAGTCATCAGTAGACTGTCACGAGTCTGTCTTTTCTGAAACCATCAGTGTTTTGTCTCTGGCTTTGGCATTGCTCCAGATGAATACATAGCAAGTGTTATACATATAGGGAAGAGATGATCCTGAGAGGGACTTCCACTTGAATCTGTGCCTGACCTTCCACCTCTGCTTGTCTGCCTGCACTGCATGATGGGAAATCAGGCCCAAAATGGCCCCATGCTGATAATTCTCTTGGGTTTTCATCTCCTTGTGTCCTTTCCTTATCTCCTTTGGAATCATAGTGAGTAGTATTTTTGACTGTCACAGCATCAAATGCTGATTAAAATCTGTATTTGGCAGATCAGTTGGTAATAGGCACTCACGGTACTGGCTGTCATCCTATAAAATGCTAGTATTGTGAATGCTTTTGGTTTGAACAAAATTTGATCTTAACCATTTTAAAACTTTGTCCCTGCTGGACACTGACTGGACTGAGCCAATCACATCCAACAGGCTCCTGTTGCAATTCTCTACACAGGGTATTAGTGTGCAACATTTCCATCTCTGCTGTCTGGATGGTTTATTTTCTTAATTGTTTGAAACAGTTCCAGTCACTTGTGTTACAGTGTGGTATTTCTGTGTGATTTACATTCAGCTGGTAAAAAAATCTTCTTGGACTCATGTATGTACATTAGGGATGTAACTACATGCATTTTTTGGACAGTTAAGCAAGCCATGGTCAGAACCTCAGCCAACTTCGTCATAATGTGGTTGTCTTTTCAACATAGAGCCTAACACATAGCATATCTGTTTACAGGAAAGATAGTAGTTGACTGAGGTAATAGGGGTCAATTTGCCACACACCCCTTCTGCAGGGTGTAACGGCAGATACAGTTTCCATCAATGACAAATGAAAATAAATCAGTTTAGAAATGTAACAATAAGATGCTCCCTATAACTTAAAATCTTGTTTCATAATAATCAAATTGAGACGTTTTTCAGTATTCAAGTAATCAAGGAGATTGTTGTCTGTATATCCATGTTAAATGTGCAAACAGAAACTGTTGGATACAGACAGTAGATTTGTGTTGCATCCCTAATGAACATCTTTCTTTGGTGCACCAGCCCTTGGCCAGAAAGTTCAGTTTGGATGCTGTCTGATAAAGAGAGGAGGCAAGGAAGGGCAAGTTGTTTTCGGTTTGTCTCGCGCTGAATCAGTCATCATGGATTCCATTCAAAAGAAACCAAATCTGCATGAACGTGTTTTGGACACTCACAAAAAGCTACAGCTTGCACTAGGCTTCACCTCCTGGCCTTGTGCCACTAGCATTGTAGTATAGAAGCTTTGTCCCTTTTCTGTCTTTATAGTCCAATCACAGATTAAGACTTGGTTGTTTTTATAGCTGGTTTGGGGCTTTTAGACTGAGCTGTAAACTCAGTTAGCTTCTTTCGTGTTACTAAAAGCTAGTGGTTCAAATTGTATGTTGTAATATATGTATTTATTGTTTATTTATGATTCACACTACTTATATGCTTTTAAATTTAATTTTAATAATTTCATGTCCATCCTCTAGTAAGTAGTAGAAAGCAGTTCTGTAACTTGATCTATATATGTGTGTGTGTGTGTGTGTGTTTTCGTATGTTTGTGTGTGTGCTCATATATACAGGAGATGCTGCGTTGTGTGTGGAGACACCTGGTTGGCGTCCTGAAGGGAGAGTCTCAGACACTCTGTTATACCTCCAGCCTTTTACACACTTTGGGATCTGTCACTGTGAGTATTATAGGGCTAAATCATTCTGGGAAGAATTGCAGTTTCAATTGTGATCATGTGAATTTATCTCCTGATCCACATTGTTGGTCTATATAGTAGACCAGTCAATATAAGCTTGTACCAAGTATAATCACGAAAGGATCCTGACAAAATGCTGCAGTTTCTTGTTTAGGTTTTTCTTTTTAAGCCAAATATTTAGAGAATTCATTTCCAGTAAACTTATTGTAGCTAACTTTCTATAGAAAAAGTAAACGTTTTGAAATTTGCTTCATAGAATGATAGGACTCACACAAGTGATATCAAGGCATGCAGTCAGTTTTGGTTTTATTTGTCCAGGTTTTGAAATATCTGTCTAGGATTTCTACCTACCAAATAGAGGTGGATGACATTGTCTTAGTGGTGATCAGGGAATTAGAAAAAATTACTTGAATTGAATATTACAATTTCACCCCCAAAAATTCCAGAAACTATGTTCCTGTTAATTTGAATAATCCACAAAACTTGGTATGAACAGTTTTATTTGGAACTACTTTGTGCTGAATAAATTATATTTCAGAACTATATAATAGTTAACATTGTAAGTGGCAGGATTTACAATTCCTGCACTGGATTAAAATGATTCACACATACAAGGAAATGGCAAAAAACAATGCAGCATGTAATCCAGCATTGCTGTTTGTTATTTGATCTAATTGATACTACTGTTTACTCTACTACAGCCATATCAGAGCTACATGAACGTTACTGCTGCTAGTCCACATGAAAAGTGTTTAACAAAACACATGGCAGCTTTTATTGTGAAGCAGTCACAGGGAAACAAAGTGTTTGTCACAGAGGTTATTGCTGACCATTATAGTTAATGAAAAATGTGTTTACTAAATAAGACAACAATCATTTAGGTCACTTCTATTTCAGCGCATCACTGTTATATTTTGCAATCATGAAAAAGTCAGGAGCAGCCACAGTGAGCTGTTAACTTCACTGTGGCTGCAGTTTTGTGGAACACTACTCGCAGCATGCAGAATAAAATCAGATGGAGGTTATAATTATTGACCGACTTCCTTATTAAAACATGAGTTTGTTTGGCTGCACTGTAAACATATATACCAGCTGTTCAAGGAATCTTTGCTGTAGTATTAAACTGCACTTGTGTTACCATGTGTGACTGAAATCTTAGAGAAAACAGTTAATATACCTACCTCTATACACACTCCATACACTTTGGAACAATTTTATAGACTCATTGCATGTATGTGTGTATGTTGTAAATCTTTTGTGTGCATGTAGGTGCTGTGTTGTGTGGACAAGCAGGGTATCCTTTCGTGGCCTAACCCCAGTCCAGAGACTGTGCTGTTCTTCAGTGGACGGGTGGAGCCACCTCACAACAGCCAGGATGATCTCAGAGACGACCTGTCTGTCAACTCCTACTGCCGAATGGAGACGGATGATGACAGGGATGAGGTGTGTGTTGATTGTATGTTTATTCTGAAAAATGTAGAAAGTAGTATGGTATATCTACTTGTCTGTTATTTTTAGTGAAAACAGCATGGAGCCAACTGAAATTCAGGAATTCATCACCTGATAGTGCACAGTGTTATATCCACTCCTGACTAGTTGTGACCACCTTACAGGCCCAGGAGGCAGAAGCTCTGCTCAGTCTACCAGCGGAGACTTCCACCCAGCCTGGGGAGGGGCCCGAACCCAGTGAGACGTCCCACGACACTGCTCGCTCATCTGACAATCTCCGGCTTTTGCGCTCCTGCAAGCCCGCGCACACTCGCACCAAACACCACTCTGGATCCAACGTGAGCTTCAGCCATGACACTGAGGGAGGGGAGGACGACCAGGCACAGGTAGGAACCAAATCTGAATTCTCTGAAGTGTAAGAAATTGTTTGATTTGACTTCACGATTAATGCTAATTAATTAATTATTTCTGTCCCATATGTCTCCAGGACTTTGCGATGGGCTGCCCAGAGGCAGAGGCCGATGACTTTGTGTGTGACTACCACCTGGAGATGCTGAGCCTGTCACAGGACCAGCAGAACCCAGCCAGCATCCAGTTCGACGACCTCTCCTGGCAGTGCCACCTGCCCTCCCTCAAGCCCCTGGGCCTCAACATCATGCTGAACCTTTGCAACGTCAGCGTCACCCAGCAGCTCTGCCGCTTCTCCGACCACCTGTCCAACCTGGCTCTGCAGGAGAGTCACGGCACAGTGCTGCCTGTCTACGTCCCCTGGGGGCTCTGTGAGCTCTCCAGGCTCATAGGTGAGCTTGCAATGAAGGTGTTTTTTTCGGCGCTGCTTTTACATCTCTAGTTGGTTTAGAGCAACCTCTTCATACCATGGCCTGATTTGCCCCTTAGTTTGGGTTTTTGTTAGGTCATATGAGAACTCAGGAATCAGACAGATCTTAGTCAGATGGTCTGGCACTGTGATTTCAGCCTTGAAGTTTACATCAGAGGGAAAACCTGATGTGTCATCCCACACAGCATGAATTATGGATTCAGTTTTACCCCAGAAGTCCTTCTCCTAGACTAAATGTCTGAGCACTGTGAGCAAAGATGTCCCTCTCACATGGTTTTGATGATAACGAAGTATTTTATTATAATTTTATTATACTATATATTTATTTTATTTTATTTTTTAAAATGTATTTTATTGTAGCTGGCAATACTGCAAGTGAACCATCAATTTATTTTTTGAGTTGCATGGGAACATAAATTAAAAAATGAAAGTTTGAAGAAATAACCCTGATGAAAAGTATCTCAGCTTGGGTTTGTGACATAAAGTTGCAGAAGGTAACTTTAAATTTTGTTTTTACTTTTTGTCATATCTCCTGAAATGTATAACTATATTCTGTCTATAGACAATAGTACATGAGACAGATAATCAGGTTCCTCTGCTCCAAACTGTATTTGCCATTCATGAATCCACTGGGACTGAACATAAACAACCAATCAGAGTCGAGAAAGATAAAAAGACGGTTTGGGTTGGTATCTTGGTCCTTCCCAGTGTCGTTATTTGACAACCTGGCAGTGAGACTCAGCAATCAACTATCATTCTTTAGTCTGATTGGTTGCTTTTGTTCAGGCCCAGTGAATTCATGCAAAACCATTAGGAGCACTAGGAGGAGCCAGAGGAACCTGATTGTTTCATAGATTGTCTGTCCCATGTTCTACTGTCAGGATATAGTGAAAGTTTTCAGCAAATAACCCTAACCCTAAACTCCAGAATCTCTGAATATGTAAATATTGTTCCTTTCTAAAGTTTTGCTGCTGGACACAAGATGTCTCCTCCTTCACTGTAAAGTCCATTCTCAGTGGATGAGCACTGGTGGCTTC